TTCGAAGAGTTTTAAACACAATACACACTCACATAATCTGAGGTAGGGGCTGAAATACTATTTAAATCCCAGGCTATAAATCAATTTCCAGGTGTTTCTACGGCTGGATAACTCGTGCGTATGAGTATGAACTATAGATATCTGTGTAAGAACGTAAAAAAGTGAAAGTAAACGGCCCGATATGATCATAGATTCAGCTTTAAACCATTATTTCTCATCAGGCAACCACTGAGATGAATAAACAAGGTTATTTTTGCAGGAAACAGGAAGCACGTTAAGATGCACTTTAATGTCACAAAGCAAGAGGTAGAGCTTTATCTTTCTTATCATCTGCTGGTGATCTGTTGCCTAAACATGTCAGGACAAACATCCACCAACCCCAGAACCACAGGGACAACTAATCCTGCCCCAGGCTGAAGGGGGAGGCCACTGACAACCTTTCCCAGGGGAGAAAACAGGAGAGACAAAATGGATTTAAACTGCTCTGTGTGCCTCACATTAACAAACCCACACACAGTCAGCAGCCCCTGCTGTTAGCCGACACTCATTAAAGTCATTAGAGATTATTGCAGTGTAAGGTTGGGGTCTAACATTAAACCAGAGCGCTGTAATTAACCTTAATACACAAAGAGAAAGGCTTGGTTATCTGGGCTAGCATCTCGTTAGCAAGTTAGCTGCCTTGATGTTGGTTAACCGGGTTTAAAGAGGAACCAGGTCACTGAGCTGTGTGACACATATTGAGGTGAATCGTACCTGTGGACTGTTACACCTGCAGGGTGGCACATTGTGTGGCTAATTTTGCTTTTAGCCGCTCGCCAACTTTCCTCCGAACTGCGCTTATAAATGCTCCGGTTTAACGTTATATCTCACCGTTACATCACTGACAACAAGCACAGCACAACTTCTAAAGTTAATCCGTAACAAGTGTGTCTTCTGCTAAATTCGGCTCACGAATGTTCCACAAAACAACATTAATGTTAGAATTATCCGGTTGTTTATTTCTGTATATCAACGTTACGCTGCTTCACTTTGGTGTTTCAGACGGACGTGAAAGACAAGGATATGAGGACACACGATTCAAAAACTTCATCGTCCTAAAGCAGGTGAGCGTCTTTCGTGGTATGACATGGTGCCGAATTGAGGAGTGGATCCTTGTGATTCTGAATATGTGTTTAATATAGTTCTACAACGCGTGTCACACGGAAGAGGACATTAAATGTGATAAATTGCTCATTTTCTGAGCGGAATTCGGCGTGACGTTCTCTCAATAGGAGCGCTAGCGGGCTGGCTAGCTGTGGCAGCTAACTGGTTCGTTCAGCAGGCACACCCTGGTTATCCCCCCCCCCACCCCACAACCACAGCACCCTGCCCCGGATAACTCACCTCCTTCTTGTCCTGCAGACACTCCAGCACCGCCAGGTTGTTGTTCCAGGAATGTTTGGGGCAAAGCCGGGTCAGGTCCTCCCTGCACACCGCCTCCTCAGCCAACTTCCAGCCGGCAGAGCGCCTCCGAGGCAGCGAGGCCCCGGCGCCCGGGTTCCTCTCAGCGGCTCCCGGGTTCACCGCCACCGGGCCCGGGCCTCCGGCTGGGTTCTGGAGGTTCTCAGCTTTAAGGGATTTGGCGGGGTTGGCGTTTTCCCCGCGAATTGGATGCACAGAGGACAAGATGCACATCAAAAGCAGGAGCAGAGGAACACGTATACAGTCCGCCATCTTCACAGAGCCAGTCAGCCTGCTGCTGCATTCAGGAGCTGTCGGAAATATGGGCTCTGGGAATAAAGTTGCAGACGGGTTTTTTTTTTTTTTTCCCTCTCTGGACAGCTCATGAATAATTAATGAGCGCGTGTGGGTTCATGGTCTCAGTCATCCAATCACAGAGCTACCTCGGGAATGTATGGAAGCCCATTTCCGCCAATATGTATATATAATAAATTTATATAATATTATAATGAGACACGACTATGTACCACGGAGTATTACTAAGAGGAAAAATAAATATATAAATACAATTTTGGAAATTACGAGAATAGTTTTCATAAGATTACTACTTTATTCTCGTAATGTTACGACTTTATTTTAGCAACATTACAACTTTATTCTCATAATATTACCACTTTATTCTCGTAATGTTACGACTTTATTCTCGTAAAGTTACGACTTTAGTCTCGTAATATTATAACTTTATTCTCATAATATTACCACTTTATTCTGGTAAAGTTACGACTTTATTCTCGTAAAGTTACGACTTTAGTCTCGTAATATTATAACTTTATTCTCGTAACGTTACGACTTTATTTTAGCAACATTACGACTTTAGTCTCGTAATATTATGACTTTATTCTCGCAATGTTACGACTTTATTTTAGCAACATGACGACTTTTTTCTCGTAATGTTACGACTTTATTCTCATAATATTACGACTTTATTCTCGTAATGTTACGGCTTTATTCTCGTAATGTTACGACTTTATTCTCATAATATTACGACTTTATTCTCGTAAAGTTACGACTTTATTTTCGTAATATTATGACTTTATTCTCGTAATGTTACGACTTTATTTTAGCAACATTAAGACTTTTTCTCGTAATGTTACGACTTTATTTTAGCAACATTAAGACTTTTTCTTGTAATGTTACGACTTTATTTTTCGTAATATTACAGCTTTATTCTCGTAATGTTGTGACTTTATTTTTCGTAATGTTACGACTTTATTCTCGTAATGTTACGACTTTATTTTTCGTAATGTTACAACTTTATTCTCGTAATATTAAAAATTTTTTCTTGTAATATTACGACTTTATTCTCGTAATTTCCCCCAAAAATTAAATATTTTTTTCTCCTAGTACTAATAACTACTAGTCGTAACTTTGAGATACCGATTCAAAATATTGAGAACGTTTCTCACAAAACCATACAAACATCTCCTCCCCACATTCTTTTTTAAGATTTATACATAAAAAACAGCCTATAGATAAACTATGTACCAATGTTGATGCTGCATATTTACAGGAATAATATAAAATAGTTTATTTCTGACTGGAAGGACTTCCAAACTCTAGTCTGCTGACGTTCAGAGCCTCTCCAGCATAAATACAGACACACACACACACACATATATTTATGCTGTTTTATATATTTAATGTAGTCTAAAATGTACAATATTGCATCACAATTCACAGTCGAGAAAGAAGAAACGTCTTCTCCCGTCGTTGGTTATCATTTTAACAGAATATTTGAACGTTGAAGCTGCAGTAGGTAACTTTTATGTCACATTTACTTTCACTGTATCCTGACAGTCGGACATGAGACGGATAATCTGGCTCCTCTTAGAGCTCCTGAATGAAAACCACCTCTCCACAGTTAAACCCTGTGTGTGCAAACACTGAGTGAAACAGTGATACATAAAGAAAGAGAGAGAAAGGGAAGAGGAGCCTGTGTTTGTTTGACGGGCAGAAGAACTGGATCCTGAGCAAATACTTTCACTCACACGAGGAAACAGCAGAACTGTTCCTCGTCTTCATCCGGCCCCCGAGGAACACGAGGAACGCTGCGGGAACAAGGAAACGCTGGTGTACTCTGATGTGTGAATCACAACAGAAAGCAATCTAAACCAGTTTAAACTAATAATATTTATTCTGCTTCCAGTTTTACCTCTTTATCAATAAGTTAGAGGCTGAGCAGGCCGGGGCGGATGTAGGGGGGACAAATGCTGTCAAATGTAACACACATATATAATATATATAATATATACACGCATATAATATAATGAGCTGTTTAAGGTCACATTTTAGAGTAAATCACTGGTTCCCAACCTGTTTTCTTTAAATAGCCTTTTCTATAATTTATTAAACTTACTCAGTGACATATTATTAATATTTTATATTTTATTAAAACTGTTCAATGAACCCAAACAGTGAACTCAGTAACCGCAGGAAGTTTGTGTAAAATTAGATTTGGATGAACTTTGAGCAGATTATTTCCTGTAAAGGGAACTTTTTATCCAATTCTCTGTCTGTATTATGTATTTTTTATAATCTTTAACAATCACACAGACTTAATAAGTTTCTTTTTTGGACATATTCAGTGTTTTCTTTGTCCCCGATGCTTTTATTTCTTACGTTGTCTTACCTATTAAAACCAAAAACTATTTTCTTCAGATTATGTCTCATGAACGACTGTCAGGATAAATTTCTCTGCTCAGGACTCCACTATATATATTCATACAGCGAATTTGCTGCTATGTTAATGTTTTAATCATTATATATATATATATATATATATATATATATATATATATATATATATATATATATTTATATATAATAAACCCCTTAAAAGGTTGTTAGACAGCATTTGTCCTCAGAAGGTTCTTTAATCTCAACCTGCACACGTTCCACCACCATCATTATCTCATGTTTCTAATCTTTTGTGTCTCTGATCACAGATATGAGGAAACTCTCTCTGTCTTATGATTACAGATTATATGTAACACAGAT